CACAGGAAATCGCTGTCTGTGAGCTTGACACAGCTAAACGGGGAGGGGGAACAGAAGGAAAATATCAAAAAATATATATTTTTTTCTGGCAGGCTTTCAGCTCTAAAATGGGGCTAATTCTACCTTTTGAAAAGAAGATAATTTCAATGTTTCTTTTTTTCAAGAACACATAATTGAAGTCATTTTCCCTCTCAGAGAAGGAACCTCGTGTACATCATTACAAATGGACAAGAAAAATGAACATCTCGGGTACCCAGAGTGATAGAGTATTCATTATCATGTAATCTTTCTGAATATTTTGGCTGCTGTTTCCTGATGTTTTATCTGCCTGGGTAACACTTTTCTTGTAAAATTCAGATATGTGCTAAATTCAAGTTATTTAACATGGGAGAAAAGTGACCCACTATAAGGTCTCTGTCTGAGTAACTGGAGAAGGACATGGTGACAGACATTGGGTATCCTTTTTATAACATTGCTCCTTAGCAATGGATGTTAAGGACAGAGATTCTAGGTAGTAAGGTGTTTTCCTGAGAGAAGGATGATTGAGTCTTTCTTCCTTTCAACCAGGGAAGAGGGATGGGAGGATAGTTAACTTTTCTACATTTTTTTGAACCAGTTTTGGAGCTTGAACTTAGGGCCTGAGTTTTGTCCTTTTGTCAGTCAAGGCCAGCACTCTCCACTTTTTTGCTGATTAATTGGAATTAAGAAGTCTCATGGACTTTCCTGCCCAGGCTGGCTTCCAACAACAATCCTTAGATCTCAGCTTCCTGTGTAGCTAGGATTAGAGCCGTGAGCCACCTGCGCCCAGGCTTTCTACATTTTTTATTTCATAACTGAAGTGTAGTGAAAGTTCAATGTGCTGCAGAAGCCCTGTGAACTGTCCACTGCTTACTCAGATGAAGAGTGCTGAATGGAGTTCTGGATGTTTCTAGACGATGCTGACAAGTGGTTTGCCTCCTCTTATAAGTGGAAATCTCTGTAATAATGAGGTTTCCACTTACTCAATGTGAGTCTGTTTTTATAGACTACAAAGTCTCTGTAAATATAGATATCTTTGATTGCACACCAAAGATCAGTAATGATGAGCTCTGCATAGTAGCAGTACAAAAAATATGATAGAGTAGAATCAAGGCCATCTTTGAAAAAAAAAAAAAGATTATTTTACACATGAAGAACTGAGGCCCAGGAAATGGGGAAGATTTGACCAAAGTTCTTGGGCCAGTTAAAGACAGAAGCAAATTAAAGGTGTGTAGTCATAGCTGCTTTGTTGAATGGTAACCCCTTTATACAACTACTTAATGATAACAACAACAACAACAAAAAAAAGATGTTTGATCCAGGTGCTGTGGTGGTTCATGCCTGTAATCCTAGCTACTCAGGAAGCTGAGATCTCAGGATCACGATTCTGTGCCAAGCCAGGCAGGAAAGTCCATGAAACTCTTATCTCTAGTTAATCACCAGAACACCAGAAGTGGAGCTGTGGCTCAAAGTGATAGAGTGCCAATATTGAGCAAAAGAGCTCAGGGACAGCACCCAAGCCCTGAATTCAAGCCCATAACAGACAAAAAGATGTTCTAAACAGTCAGGTCTTCTGTAAGCATGTGATAATATGCAAAGCACTTATATCCTATGTAAGAAAATGTAAAACACTTCAACTGTTGTGAAGTGTTATAGAAATATGATGACTATTGGTACTGGTGTTCTTGCTGAAATGGGTAGAATTTTGCTGTGCCTATGTCCCTTGTGAAAATAAGTCTTCACTATTGCCTTCCTTACCAAGGACCTTAGACCCATGAGGAGGCTAAAAACTTTGCATGGTACAAAACCTTCCCTTTCCTGACCATCATCAGGCCCTCAAGCGAGAAACATGTAATGACAAAGAAAACCTAATTATGACCTCAAATTAAAGTCATCTCTTTCTAGCAATCTCAACTCAGAGCATGGTTTTTTGGACCTTACTGCTTATACCATTTTGTAATTGTCTATTTTCATGTCTTTTCTCCCCTGAACTATAAGTTATCAGAGGCAGAAACTCCTAATGATATTTAAAAGTTGGTATTTAACTTGATATTTATAGTTCTTGGCACTTGGCAATCTCTTAGGAAGAATATATTAAGCAAATTTTGGAGTCCTTTGATAAGTCACATATGGATCATATAATGTTTGCCTTTAATTATTGATAGTTATACTTAAAAATACATTTTTCCCCTTAGGAAATCCAAAAGACTTTGTGTATATATATCACAATTTCTTTGTTTTGCATTAATACATTATTATCCTTCATACAGAGTTGCTCACTTATCTTCTTGAGTCATAGTTTCTTCATCCATATTACAGGCTCAGGATTGCATATTATATAGGACTCTCTTGTCTAAGTATCATGAAATGTAAGTGTGAAGGACTGACTTTGAATTTCTGGCTTCAATTTACAGAGGATAGATTCAGTCTCCTTGCTACCTTTCTTTATATACAAAGAGAATCAGGTACATATCACTCTTAGACATATAGTAGTGTACTTTTCCCTATGAGTTCACCCTTTGTCTAGAAGGAGGAATTATCTCTTGTTGCTTAATAGCTACTGACTTAATTAAAGCAGCTAGCACCGTTGTTATATACTTTTGGAAAGTATTATTGAGTTGGGACAAGGCATAGAATTTGGATTCACATGACAACATATTCGGTTAAGTTCTCCTTTTATTGTGAGCCTGGAGGAAACATACAGCAGATAATGCCTACCTTCACATGCAGGTTGGGGGCTTCAAAGCAGGCCCTTCCTAACCATTGTCTGAAAGTAGTTCATGATCAATATAACAGGAGATACATGTTATCTTACCAATTCTCATAAGACTGTGAAGTGCTTTGACTTGTCCATTGGACAGAAGAGACATTGAAATTATAACTGTTTGACAAGTTTAACTTTAAAGTCCAAGTGAGTGTCATAGTTAAATCCCTATCTGCAGTTGTAAGGATGCTAGCTCCTATTATAGCCTTTTATTGTCTTTGGCCACAAATCTCCATCTCATTACAGCCTCATAGCTCTCCCATTCACCCTGCATTCCAGCGAGAACTTTCCAAATCAGATTAGATCATTCCTTTTCTGAAAGTCCTCATTTCAGTTTCTAATTCCCATTTGAATCCAGTCTTCCCAAATGCAAATATGGTGCCTAATTATGTCTCTGACCCTTCCTAACTTCTTGGAGAAGATGTATAAAATAAACCCTTTAAGAATGAGTGGATAAACTACTAAACAAAATGATAAGTACATGATTTAATAGTTTCTAACCTACACACCAATTATTCTTAATAGGGCAAAGCAATGTTTGCAGTTCAGAAGATGCTTTCAGCTTAACATGGAGTGTTTTTTAGGATAAATGAATGAGTATAATATGATCCCTTGCCTTGACTTTACTGTAACTAATCTTGTCCAGATATTTTTAGGTTTCAGTTTTACTTAATCTCACAATCAATATATCAATGTAATAATTCTGGAGATCATACAACTATTTTGTATGACACCTGGCATAGATTCTAATATCTAATACAAATGTTAGAACAGTGAAGTAAAATCTTAGGGTAATGTTAATGACTGACATGAAGATTTCTTGAGCCTTTCAGCTTTCTGCATGTTTGTAGTTCAAGTCCATGTACATTTGAGGAAATGGAAACATGGAAAATTTAAAGAAAAGGTCAAAAAGCTACCTGTGAACATCATTATCTATGCTGAGAAAGCATTTTATGTCCTAGACAACAGACAAGTAATACCCATTTTGGAGTTGTCGTGGTAACTGCTGCTAGTAGAGCTGATAACTTTTTCTAGGATTTTCACATCTAATAACTCAGACTACTGAAGGTAATAGAGAATGGACATACAACTCCTTTGCATAAACATCTGGCAGAAGCATTCTCAATCTACATCTCTGTCCATTGTTAATGGCCATCACCATTGGCATTTCCAAACTTTTAAAATGAATGTTTCTGTTTCTGGAACTCTTTGATTCAAGGAGTTGGAGATGATATTGAAATGATCAGTTTTAGCATAGGAAAAGGAAAAATAAATTCTGTTTATGTGCATAATGGAAGGCTAATTTATACCTGCATCTTTTTTTCCTATATGGTTGATTATTTCATGTATTTGACCTTTGATTCTCTTGACATTATTATACTTTTGCTCACTATTTGAACACCAGCTCAGTGCCATTCTACTGATATATCATTCCTATTTGACATTTGCCTGTTTGTATGGCTACAGTTTAAAAAAAAAAGCTATATAATTAAAACCACTACTCAACTCTGTTAACTGAAACAAAAAGCAATTTATTTTCTAGAGTCCTTGACCCCCCAAAATGTCTCATTTCTAATCTTAACTTTTATGTATGGATAGAAATATATAAATGTTGGTTGTTACTCCGATACGACTTTTTTCACCTGAGTTTGAGTACCTTCTACCTGAATGTTTCTTCTCTACTCTAATATCTCTTTCCAGGAAACTTTCTTCTCAGCCTATGTGAAAAGTCCCTTTTGATACCTAATTATTCACTCTCTACATTTGCTTTGTCTTTATTAACATGCCCTAAGGTATTCCTCTTCACTAACATATTTTTAAGAAGGAAAGTGTTGGTTTGTTCATCTTTCTAATAAATGTACAAATGAATTAATATACAATGCACAAAAGGAAATGTACTCATTACCTTACTTGTGTAATTGTAATCCCTCTGTACTTCATCTTTATAATAACAAAAAAGTAAATAAATAAATATACAAATGATATGTAGTGACTGGTTAGCTATTGCTTTACAAAATAGATGACTGCTATTGCCAAATGACTCATGTAGATAAGGCAAATGAATCAAGAGATGTGTCCAAGCTCAGATCCATAAAATTGGTAAAAATCTTCATCTCCAAATGGATCAGCCCATTGCCTTTTTATCCCCTGTACAAGCACAGCTCATTCTGTTGATGTCTAGACTATAATTAAAGAGATATTACATTTTGCCTTTCAGGGTGGACACACAGGGCCTATGGGGCCTCCATCATTCCGCCCTGAAGATGAACTTGAGCACCTGACCAAAAAGATGCTGTATGACATGGAAAATCCACCTTCTGATGAATACTTCGGTGAGTGGTTTTAGAGCTGACTTCTGAAGTTAATGTTGTATTCTTATTTGCGTACTTAGTAATGAGGACTATTTCCAACTCCACTAATAAGAAACATTTGAGTCCTGATGCATGAAAGATGATTTGCACACACATATCACAGAAGTTTTGAGGTTTATGCTAAAAGACCAGCATAAATCAATGGAGTATCTACTCAGCTTGTACTAAAATCTCAGTGGTTGTTGAGGTTACCTAAGATACAAATTTAAATGTTTCTGACAATTCATTAGGTTTCATTAGATCAAGCCAGGATTTCTGCATGCATTCAGAATGATCACTACCTGAAAATTTCTGTGAAGTCTAGAATCTGGTATGATCTAAACTCTGAATTCTCAGTTCTTTTCAGGAAAAGATAATCTCTTTGAATTTTTCTTTTTTTTTCCTCTCCAGGACAGTTAATTCTTTTAGTTCATGATTGTTAAATGTATGAATTATGTGCCTTTCGTGAGGTGCTTAGGAGCACACAGTTCATCAGGGAGGTTGTAATATTTCAGAGAGAGGTAGAAAGACATAGAGGTAGAGGTAAGCTGTGCACCAATGGCTCACACCTGTAATCCTAGCTACTCAGGAGGCTGAAATCTGAGGACCATGATTCAAAGCCAGTCTAGGCAAGAAAATCCATAGGATTCTTATCTCCAATAACTACTTAGAAAAACCTGGAAGTTGTTCAAGTGGCTCAAATGGTAGATTGCTAGCCTTGAGCACCAAGAAGCTCAGGGACAGCACCCAGGCCCTGAGTTCAAGCCCCAAGCCAAAAGGTAGAGGGGTCTGAAGGCCAAGGTCCAATATTCCAAATTTTAAAGTCTCCATGAGGAACATCAGGAATGCTTTATAACATGAGTTTATGGGCAGCCAGCTGGTAGCTCATGCCTGTAATTCTAGCTACTGAAGAGGTTGAGCTTGGAGGATTGTGCTAAGACTCTTAATCTCTGATTAACTACCAAAAAGCTGGAAGTTGGGCTATGGCTCAAGTGGTATAGTCTCACCCTGGAGCAAAAAAGCAAAGGGACAACATCCAACCCTTAACCCAAGTCTCAGTACCAGCACATGCATGCGTGTGCACATACACACACACACACACTCTCTCTCTCTCTCTCTCTCACACACACACATACACACACACTAAAAGAAAGAAAAAGAAAAAGAGAATACTTGGTAGTACTTGAATCAAGGTCTTTTAAACCAGAAATTCTCATTTTTTTTGTTAACACTGTTTTCTACTCAGTCTGTTGAAGACCCATATTTCTATAGCATAATTAAAATGATTTCTTTTTGGGAGAAATTATTTTATTAGTACATATTATTTAAATTAATTTTATTAGCCTAAATTAGTTAGACTAATAATTAGGATTTAATTATAATATTTCCATACATACATATCACATACTTTGATCATATTCCCCCTTTCTATTATTCCTTCTTATTTCCCCAAAATTAATTTCAAGGAAAAGAAATTTAAAAGTATGAAGTTCAAAAGTAGTCCAAAATGAGAGACCAATTTTTATCATCAGATTTAAGACAAAAAAAATCATTCTTTTAAATTTTGTAATAGTTTTTAAATATGCAGACTGTATTTCTGCAAACAGTGACAAATAGTTCTTAGATGGATGCCTAGAGGGCTACTTTTTTAGTAGCTTCTTGAAGGACAATTACATAGAGGGAAGCAATGTGAATAAAGGCTTTAAGATAGAAAATTTCACAAAGCATTTGCTTTTAATGTTTGCTGTTTCCCCTTTACCAGAGCCTCTCAATTTTTTCTAAAGACTGTTCTCCACTCAGTTAGATGGATGGTAATATTTTTGTAGCATATAATCAAATTTTGGGAAACTAAATTTGTAAATACTCCTCTGTTTCTACATTTGTCTCTTCATAGGGTGGTAAGATAAACAAAGACCATATTTTGAGTAGCTCCCAATGCCATGGGAACTGTGCTATAGATAAGAACTTGGCCTCCAAACACAAGGGACTTTGATGTGAATGGCAACTCTTAACTGTAGCTGAGAACGAAAAGTCAGGATGAAAAGGATTAGTTAACAGAATCACCAGTGACTCATTAAACACTTCCCAAACATTTTCTCTGTGACTGTAACTGTAAAGGGAATTAGATATACCTAAATGCAGAGAGACTGTCCTCAATGGCTTCACAGGTACTCATAACAGTTGGAAAGACACACATATGACTAATTTCAGTGCAGCTGTCAACATGTATTGAATCTGACATAGGCACTTAGTGATTATGGAAGACAGGAGCAATAAACATAAGAGAAAGATATTTATATAGCATTGCATTTGCATTAGGAGAACCTGGCTCAGTAGAACTAGAAGAAGGTCTTCTCTTGCTCTCTATCAGAATGTTACCTTATGTCTATTCTGGGCCAGAAGTGACATTGTCAACACCATTTTGAAGGATTTTTTTCTTTCTTGCAATGACATTCCCAGCATCAACTAACCTCCCATCATCTATATGTTTTCTTCATTATTTCCCTATTTGCTACTAGAATTTTCATTCAAACAGTGGGCTCCAATTTGCTGTAGGGAATCACCTTTAGTAAGTGCTTCCACATCAAAGAGCCCGCTGCCCTAGGGAGTGAGGAGGAACCCAGTGTCAGGAGATATGGTGTCAGAAGCCATGGGGTCCCTTGGGGTCCTGTGGCTTTCTTGCTCTGCTGTTTTTTTTTCTAAACCTTAAATGGAGTCATAATAAACCTTTTTTTTCTTTTTGGAACTTCACCACTCATAGTTTTATTGATATTTGAAATACAATTGCAATTATGGTATGCCTAATAGTATTGGGAGGGATTTCACAATATTACCACACGAGTATAGAAAAAGCACCAGAACATTGGAGAAACTTACTTGGAACCAACTGAATCGAAGTGATGAGACAAAAATGAAATGTGAGGTGAGAGGTTAACAACAGCACTTATGGAACAATTTTGCCAAGATATTAACTATCGTCTATTAGGAATGAAAAAGAAAAAAATCCAGATAATAGGACAGTCTTCAACATTTTCAGTATAATAGAACATTGTTCTAGCCAAAGAGATTAAATGACCACTTCATTCAAATCAGTCTGAATTTGAGTATCACATCCATTGTGAATCATTGAATTGGGGGTGAATAATAAGGGATTTGGGGAATTTTATATAAATTTTAGCATGAACTATATATTTGAAAATTTATGTTAATTTCTTGAGTATATCAATTGTATTGTGGTTTTGTGGGAAAATATTCTTCCTTTTAGGAGCTACATGGTGTAGTACAAGGTGACATGTGAAGATATCTGTCACTTATGGAACTTATTTTAAACATAGACAGACAGACAGACAGATAGATAGATAGGAAATAGGTAAGATTCTTTAAAAAAGGAGGGAGAAGAAGGAAGGAAGGGAGGGAAGGAAGGAGGAGGGAAGGAAGAAGGAAGGAAGGAAGGCATGAAGGAAGGAAGGCAGGAAGGAAGGAGAAACATGGATGGATGGATATTGATAGAGGGAGGAATGTATTTCATGAAGTGAGATTAATAGGCTACAATTACAGTAAGTACACAGCTACAAGGACTTTCCTCCTCTACTAAAATATATTAAAGTTGTCACCAATGAATTATCTAAGAATACTTCCTTGGGTGGACAAAATGGAGAGAATAATAAAGTAGTGTTGTAATTCCTGCCTTTATTAAACTTTATTAAAGATATAATTATCTTTACTGTATGCCCATTTGTTTTTAGTCACATGTGTTTCCATTATTGGTGAGGTGAAAAATCATGATGGAAGTGGTAACAAAATCTGATATTTACTTAAAGTTTCACAAGTTTACACAGAAAAAACCAGCCACAGCATGACTAACAGGTCTGGGGATTATGTCTTTACTTTTCTCAAGAGAAAATAGATTCAGATAGACAATGAATTGTGTGAGGTCCTATAGCTTAGTAAGTTCAGGATTTGGACTTTTGTCACATCCATTCAGATTTCTTGCCATTATAGAAAGCCTTGATCTCTCCGTGGAGCCTGTCAGCAGTTGACTGTTAGGATGTTGTGTCATTCCCTCCCTTCTGAAGTCTCCAACTGAGAGATTGAGAGACTACTTCTGCCCATGGGCATATGCTTTAAATTCTGGACTTCAGAGTCACCAGTGATATATGTCATCACTCTTATACATGTTGCAGTGGCTGATGGGACACTAATATATGCCCATTTGTCATCTCTCTAATATGTACCTTAGAGAGACAGCACACTTAAAATAGCTACTCTATCAACCTTGTTACCTTACCTCTTCTGTTGACTTTGGCAAAAGAAAATCACTAAGTTCGTTCTTTTTTTCTCAAGTCAGTCTTCAAGCAAAACTGTCAATTATATCTCATATGTGTATATTAAAAAGAATTCCTTCTGAAAATATGCTAGTTTTATTTAGTTTTTCTGTACCATCCTGTTTGCCTTTCTTATAAATTATAATCATCTGATTATAACATTAGGAAAATGCCTAAATGCGATAGCATTATACAGCTTTTGGAAGAGTAAACATTTATACGCTTGGAATTAACTTTAGGCTACACAGATTTTCTGGGCAAGCCAGGAAAAATATCAGCTGACATTCCTATCATACAGTGGGCCTCTAAAACACTACTCTTTGTTGGGGGGAGGGGTGGAGGAAGAATCATAGAAGGAAATGGAAGAAAATGGAGAAAATTCATACAAGATTCAATTATCTGGATGGTGAATCATCAGCCTAACTTATTTGCAACCAGGCTACATCTTTTGTCTCAAGTTCTTTCTTCTTGATGCAATCTATTTTCCTGGATATCTAGAAAAAAAAAGTATGTTTATACCTGAAGAGATTGTCAGTTTCAGTGACAGATGCTTATACTGACCAATGGATGATGAGTTCTCAGTTATTATAATTTAGGGTAAATTCTGCACTGAGGAGGAGAATTTTTAGATTAACTAGCAAAATGAATATAAGAGCA